GCCAGTGTTCGCGTCGCACCTCCTCACTTTGCTGCTGTCGGATTGACAACGTTTCCCAGGCTACGCCACACAGCTGTGTCCATGTTTCAGTTGGTAGTTGTTCGTAATCATATGACTTGTCATAAGTTGATAATAATGAATAAAATTGGACTAAAATGAAATCATTGCATTTGGGCGCACTGGTGACCACCGATAGTGACACCAGCAGAGAAATTCAAAGACGCGTGTTGACAGGAAATCGTGCTCACTTTGGACTCTGAAGGGCGGTCTGGTCGAGCAAAGCTCACAGCAACTCAAAATTGACTATCTACAAAACGCTGATTCAACCGGTACCCAAGCTTAATAAGAGCTTATTCGGGCAAACATATGGTTCTTCAGCTTATTTAGCTCTTAATCAGCATTAATTGTATGTTGGGTAGTCCTCAGTGGCCACGAGACATGCAATATGCTCGTGGAGGACCATCCGTCTTTGGGGGTGATTAAAATTTAACGACTTGAGGTGGTTCTAGAATTATTGACAGTACATAATGGGAAAATGTGTAGAGAAATTGAATTACTTAAGGATGTCATATTTGAATCCCCGTTTGGTGTTTTTGAACGAAAGATGTTGCGTACCATATTCGTTGGAGTGCAGATGGAATACGGGAACGAACGACTATGATGGACTGGGCAGATTGTCAGCCAAAGGTTGAAAGCCTCTTTAATAAATAAAACTAACTAACTAACTGGACACATCGTAAGATGGTTGGCAAGGTTGATGGACCTGATAACAGACAATATGGCTAGCGACATGTAGCCTTGGGTCAAGTGGAATGGAGACTACTTCAGAGTACCTTTGTATGACAACAGGGCGAATGACAAAAGGTCGACTAACCAAAGTTCTAGTGACAAAAGGCCGAATGACAAAAGGTCAAAGGACAAAAGGTTGAATGACAAAAGGTCGAATAATCAAAGTTCGAATGACAAAAGGTCGAATGACAAAAGTTCGAATGACAAAAGGTCGCATGACAAAAGGTTGAATGACACAGAGAGAATGACAAAGGGTCGAATATCCAAAGTTTGAGTGACAAAAGGTCGAATGACAAAAGGTCGAATGACAAAAGGTCGAATTACAAAAGGTCGAATGACAAAAGGTCGAATGACAAAAGGTCGAAAGACAAAATGTCGAATGACAAAATGTCGAATAACAAAATGTCGAACAACAAAATGTCGAATGACAAAATGTCGAATGACAAAATGTCGAATGACAAAAATTCGAACGACAAAAGGTTGAATGACACAAGGCAGAATGACAAAAGGTTGAATGACACAAGACAGAATGACAAAAGGTTGAATGACAAAAGACAGAATGACAAAAGACCGAATGACAAAAGACCGAATGACAAAAGGTTGAAAGGGTGCAAGGTCGAAGGTACCACAGGTTGAATGATGAGAAGGAGAACAAAAGAACGAATGGAAAAAAGGTCAAATGATTCAAAGAGGGACAAAAGGTCGCATTATTGGAGGAGGGATATAATAAAAAGGTCGAATGGACAAAAATATCGCATAATGAAAAGGGGCACAAATGGGCGCATGGTCAAAAGGTCATATTATGAGAAGGTGGACAAAAGGTTGAAAATCAGCGAATAATTATTGTGAAGCCAGATGGCAAATAGTAGAAAGAATACTTGCCAGATTTAAGACGCCACTACTTGAATATTAAATGACTAATCATCAAAATCGAAATTTTTGCTTGGTTATATGAAAGAATGAGCAGTGAAAAAAAGAAGGAAAAATATTGATAATGCAATCCTAGTTTTAAGTGTCAGTGTAAGTGTCACTTCAAAATCACTCTACTATTCCATAAGTCCCTCAAGCTGTTAATAATTGCTAAGAATTCGCTTAATGTTATCTCAAGTTTTCTCTATAATTTTCGCTTGGTACACTTTTCAGAACTACCTAAAGACTCATCTGGGATTTATCTCATAATTCGCCTTAGAACTTGCTTTTGAGGTATGAGGTAAGAATTATCTTGGAATCCTCTTCAGTACTTCTTAAGTACTCTATCAAAATTACCTTGAAATTCTCCCAGAAATTGCGAGAAGTTCTTCTATCAAAATTCCATAGAAATTATGCTCATGATTTCCATTGATTCATATTGAATTCTTCTACAGAAAATCTTTATGTCATCAACGTTCCTTAAAAGTGATCTTAAGAATTTTCTATGATTTTTCTGCAGAATTCAATTCGCTTTCTCCACAAAATCTCCATACAGTTGTCATCTGAATTATGATGGAACTCTATTCTGAATTATCTTGGAATTCTCCATTGAATTCACAAGGAATTTGCCTCACTCTGTTCAGATTTATTTTAAGGTTCAGAAGATCTAAGGCATTTTAGAATTCTAAAGAATTTCCGAAATCTGAGATCCGTGGTATTTAACAAATGCTAGAAATTATCAAATACCAGGATCCATAAAATTTGTCTATGTTCAAGAACCTTGCTAATATTTCAAGGCTCAATGTATTATTTTCAATTCTGATTTTTTTTTAAATTTCTCCAAGTTCCAAAGTTTGAAAAATTTCTCATTGTTGAAATTTTTACTCTTTATTATAATTAATAAATTTTGGCTTAAATTACTAAAAATTTAAGAAAAATTTAAAGCCCTTTAACCTTTGTATTAATTTTCCATAAGCTCCATAAAATTGAAAAAAAAAAACAATATCTTAATATTTAATAATCGCGATTCAGGATCCCATCATTTTCTTTTAATTTCTGGCCTCAGGCTTAAAAAAATATTCAAATTTCGAAATTTGGAAAATTTGTTGCGATCTTCAGTCTATTAAATTTTCATGGAGATTCTGTTAAAAATTATTAAAATGCTTAATGTTTATTTTGTTAACAAATTAATTTTGACTGCGAATTGAGTTATAAGTAAAAGTTCTGAAAATTGCTCGAAAGATCTTAGTTAGTCATGTTGATTCGTTGTGAATGTTTATTTCTGATAGATGCCATGATCATTTCAAACTTCAACGGGTCAAATATCAGCACCCACAAAGCATACTACATTGAACCTAATATTCCACTTTTGCAGCAAAACATGGTGTAACAATTCTATGCTTCTTCTTATTTCTTGCATTCCAAGCTTATTGCTTATTGATGATGATGATGGTCCCGCCTCTTACCCCCACAAAGGTTTGAGCTGGACGATTTATCTTTAAGATAATTACGTATTTAACCAGGTTTGCAAACAAAATCGAACTGGTTACAGTTACAGATATAAATTCCCTCTAGAGTTTACAGTTGCTTCACAGCGATATAAATGTGGAAAAGCTCAGGCGTCCACCTCTTAGTTCGCCTTTTTGTTCACCTAAAATATTCATAAGTATAACAAGTAATCAAGAGTTAATGAACAATCAACAAAGCATCCTATTACGCTAGCAACCCCGCAATTTGATGCTATCATAATTTTCAGCAATGTCAGGAATGCTCACGAACCCCCAACATTTGCCAGAAAACTTACTACTTACTCAAGGTATCCAATAAGCTTCAAAATTGCATTTTTTTTTTATCAAATTTTAAATTCAGTCCTCTATATCCGTAATACGCGCGCGAGGTTCAAACCTTTGTAGACTACTTTTTTTTATTAAATCTACTACTATTAAATCAAATATTATTATTTATTGTCACCTCCAACATGGACATTGATGGCCTTTTATAATTTAAGTAGCAGTTTTGGCTTTTATTTTTTTTAATGAGACGGCAAATCAATAGCTGTGATGTTTTTACAGCAACATGTAAATATAACAAATCTGGAACATTTTTTAATCTGGATTTAAAAAAAAAAAAAAAAAATAATCTGGCCATAAACGTATCTGGCAAGACAGTTGAATATATGTAATACTGGCTAAACAACTGATAAATGACATGGCATTCATTCACGATCATTTTCATTTCGTTATAAAGACGATAGCTGATTTGTCAATATTTTCGATTACGGTCAAGCTTTTGCAGCACTGACTCCCAGAGATACTTTCAGTTTTGATATATTCACGGTTAAGTTGAACCTTGTTGAATCTGTCATCCAGAAGCTGAAAATGGGTTGATTTTGATGGAATCTCTGCCTTATTACTAAAAAGATATCCTTCACAGACTGTTTTGGAAAAGTTCACCAAAACAGTTCACTTTACCGCTGACGAGACTACAAGACTGTCCAATAATTCGTTACAGCAGGGTTTGAAATCTTCACAAGAAAAAGAGATATACAAAACGATGAAAATATAATATTTTTTTCTGCATAAACTAAACGTATACCCCAGTCTAATGATACCCAAGTAACAATTTGGGCTTTATGAAGATTCTGTAGACCATGATTTAGACTTGTAAAATTCTATAAAATCTTGATGAAACATGCAACGTTACTTGGGTAAGGACCCGACTTGGAAGCGTTTGAGCAGTGTGGGAACTAATTTGGAATGACCCGAATGTTTTCAACTTCAAGGTTAAAAATGATAACTATGTATACGACCAAATGCAAATTTATGCTCAACCCAAATGTAAATTCTCTGTAAAAATTATCCGCTCAAATCAATCATATATTCAATGATGATCATAGCCGACAACTGACAAACAAGTTTATTGCAATCGTGTATGTACGATGGGTAGAATCCACTTCCTTAAACATTGTCATCACCAGTATTCCTCAAAATGAAATTCCGTAAAATGGTAGCCCACAGGGACGAAACAAGCTTGAATCGTGCCCTCTTGGAATCACATGAAAGAGTTTGAATCCACCCTACATCCATAACCCAAATCCACCCATGGTAAAATTGATGAAAAATTCATCCGGATGATTGAAAGCAGGGATCCCTTTCAGCACGAGTGGAACGAGCCACGAGGAAAATATAAAACCATAAATTATAATCCGCCCCAACCACCCAGCATAGCACATAACGCACGCACACACACACACACACACCACACAGAACAACACAGTCAGCAACAATGTGTTAACTTTTTACCTTCAACGGAATCGCCCACACGTAGTGTGCAATCTTCACAAACGACATCACGTTAAAAGCATCATCGGACATTAAATTTGTTATGGTACCTGCATCGGTCGCAGTAGCATTACCACCCCCACCAGCACCACCAGAACCGAGGTGACCCTGACGATTATCCGTTGCATGCATGCTGGGACTAGCGGAGCTCTTCATGTTTCCGTCCTGTTGTAGGGTCGCTTCCGATGCATCGCCATCCCCACTTTTGCCGTCGGCTTTCGCTTGTTTATGCGTCGCCTTCGTCCTTGAAACCGCTGCGGCAGGGGAAGGACGATGCGATGCTGCAGAATCGCCGATGTCAAACTGTTGCTGATCATCGGAATCGATAGCAGCAGGTATTTCATGTTTTATCTTTGGCTTCGAATTTCCCGTGCACTGCTGCTGCACTTGGATGATGTTTGCAGTCGTCGATTCCGGTGGTGGTAATGCTGTGGTAGAAGCCGTTGTTTCGTGTTCGGTAGCAACTGGTTCAACACTGCTGCTCATGGCCTTGGCCGCGTTGTCGTTGCCGTCGACGATGTCGGTGGGATTTGTGTTGATGTTCCGGTTGCTGGTGGAATCGGTTTTCACTGGCATGGGGTCCAACAGCGATGTGATTCCGGGCGCTGTTCACAAGGAGAAGAAAAGAAGAAATGTTTGGATCACATTTTTATCAAGATAGTGGAGATCAGGGTTGTTATTTGTATATGTGTAGTTTCACAGTAAAAATAAGTATATTTGCACACAAACAAGGTTAGAAAGTTCCGCAAAATATTGCTAAACAAGCTGTTTACAAATTTAAGCGGACTGCAAAACAAAAATCTTATGAAACGAACGCAGATTTCTCTCACAACTATTTTGATTGTCTATTTAACTTGATGCTTTTTTTAAACAAGTATGAAGCTTTTTTTTAAGCAGCATAGCAAAATTTATGATTTTTCTTAAATATATAATGCGTATATTTTTCCAGGCTCATTTACTGTAGCTTTGCGGAGCCGACATTCATTGTTTAGATCACAAAACTACTTAAAACTAACGTTAGTAAAGCGGGGGGCGATTACTCGTAGTTATCTCGAGGTTAGGGGTAACAAATTGTAACAAATGGATAGCAGGGTAGGGATTGAGAACACAAGGTTTGCAGAGCAATGTGCTCTTGATCTCGAACTAAGCGACATACTGATGAAAAAGACAAACATGGAAGTACACCGACCATTTTTCAACAGTTTTTTTAGACCCATGTTTACAGTTTCAGAAAACTAAGAATAAAATTTAATTAATTTAAATGCTTCCTAATCCTGAAATTGTAGCCTTTCCATAGCAGGATTCATTCAATTTGAATTGAATATGCAAACAAAGTCCGTTATGTCTAGTTGTTTTTCGACACATAACCTAACACATTTAGCTTAAGACAGATAGAGGAAATGGCTCTAATGTTGGCCTACGGATCTAAGATTGGGCCATTCGCTATAAATCTACTATTTCTCAATTTTATCTAGATGAACGCGTCTTTAGGACGGTAGTAATGGATATTTTTGGACGCTATTGAAAATTAAGTCGATTGCTGAATATATGTATTGGCCCAAATTAGGGGCATTAAGCCTGACATTGCATCCATTTCCCCTACATAGAATACTATTTTTTTTAAATTTTGAAAATGTTTTTTTTTTTATAACAAGCAATAACTTAAGTAATGCATAATATTGTATAGTGCATAATCTGCTTTTGTATAGTTGAAGATGTTAATTTCAAATAACAGACTAAAGTGGTAATTTTTATACGATAGATGAGGAGATGAAAGTAAATAGAGTTGATAGTTCTGTTAGAGTACGGCAGTGTGAAAATTGTATATAGAAAGTAGAAAGCAAGCAAGGACATCTTTGATACCCCTCACCATCCCTCTCACGATCGTTGGAGAGGGATGGTGAGGGGTATCCCGCCCCCACGCCACCACTGGCAAAAAGAGATGATCACCAACTCGCTCATGTACCGACGATGTGTTTTGAAACAGTTCTATCGATTGTACCGCACTCAAGTTGTTATCTGAAGGAAGGCATCCAGTCGTAGGTTTGGAAATTGCAGATATTGTTCTTTTTTATATAAGTTTGATTATTAAGGCTCAATTTTCCAAAAAGACTGTACGGAGTCGAGAACCGAGGACGTGAAATTCATCTCAACCACCTCTTCCATCACCTCAACCCCTTTCCTCTGTGTCTTTATCACCAGCATCAGATAACCTAACCTAACCTAACTTCTAAAGAAGATTCTAAAATAAGGTTACTCAGAAGATTCCAAAAGAAGCTTCTAAAGACGATTCTAAACATTACTCTAAAAGAAGAATCTAAAAGAAGTTTATTAAAAAGCTTTTAAAAGAAGCTTATAAAAGAAGATTCTAAAAGAAGCTTCTCACGAATATTTTAAAAGAAGCTTCCATAGAAGACTGTAACATAAAATTATAATGAAGATTCTAAAAGAAGCGTCTTATGAAGGTTCTAAAAGAAGAATTTAAAGAAGATTCATGAAGAAGCTTATGAAAGAAGCTTATAAAACAAGATTGTAACCAAAGTTTCTCAAAAAGATTTTAAAAGAAGCTTCCATAGAAGATTCTAAAAGAAACTTCTAAAGCAGATTCTAAAAGACACTACTAAAGAAAATTCTACAAGAAGCTTCTTAATAATATTCTATATAAATCTTTGAAAGAAGATTCTAAAACAAACTTCTAAAGAAGATTCTTAATAAAAACTTCTACAGAAGGTTCTAAAAAAAGCTTATAAAGAAGATTCTAGAAGAATCTTCTAAAAAAGATTCTAAGAGAAGCTTCTAAAATAGATTTTAAAAGTAGCTTCTAAAGAAAATTCTTTACAAAACTTCTAAAGAAGATTCTAAATTATGCTTTTAAAGAAGATTCTAAAGAAACTTCTACAGAAGGTTCTAAAAAATATTCTAAAGAAGATTCTAGAAGAAGCTTCTAAAAAAGATTCTAAGAGAAGCTTCTAAAGAAGAGTTTTAAAGAAACTTCTAAAGAGGATTTTGAATAAAGCTCCTAAACAAGTCTAAAAAAGATTCTAAAAGAAGCTTTTAAAGAAGATTCTACAAGAAACTTCTAAGAAATATTTTAAATAACGCTTTCAAAGAAGATTCTAAAATAAACTTCCAAAGAAGATTTTAAAGGAAGCATCTTATGCAGATCCTTCTAAAGAAGATTCTAGGAGAAAGTTCTAAAAAAGATTCTAAGAGAAGCTTCTAAAAAAAATTTTAAAAGAAACTTCTAAAGAGAATTTTAAGTAAAGCTCCTAATGAAGATTTTAAAAGAAGCTTCTGAAGAATATTCTAAGGGAGACTTCAAAAGAAGATTATTAAAGAAGTTTCTAAAAAAGATTCTAAATTAAGCTTTTAAAAAAGATTCATAAAGAATCTTTCAAAGAAGATTCTTAATGAAACTTCTAAAAAGGTTTAAAAAAAACTTTTAAGAAAAATTCTACAAGAAGCTTCTAAAGGAAGCTTCCAAAGAAGATTATAAAAGAAACTTTTGAAGAGGAGGAGGAGGAGATTCTAAATTAAGCCTTTACAAAAGATTCATTAAGGAACTTTCAAAGAAGATTTTTAAAGAAACTTTTACAGAAGGTTCTAAAAAAAACTTCTGAGGAAGATTCAAGAAGAAGCTTCTAAAAAAGATTCTTAAGGAAGCTTCCAAAGAAGATTATAAAAGAAACTTTTACAGTGGATTTTAAATAAAGATCCTAACGATGATTTTAAAAGAAGCTTCTAAAAAAGATTCTAAAAGATACTTTTAAAGAAGATTCTAAAAGAACCTTCTAAAGAAAGCTAAACAAAGCTTTTGAAGAAGATTCTAAAAGAAGCTTCCAAAGAAAATTCTTAAAGAATCTTCCAAAGAAGATTCTAAAAGAAACTTCTACAAAAGGTTAAAAAAAGCTTATAAAGAAGATTCTTCTAAAAAAGATTCTAAGAGAAGCTTCTAACCAAGATTTTAAAACAAACTTCTGAAGTGGGTTTTGAGAAGATTTTAAAAGAAGCTTCTACAGAAGATTCTTAATTAAGTTTTAAAGAAGATTCTTCTAGAAACTTCTACAGAACGTTCTAAAAATTTTCTTAAGAAGATTCTAGAAGAAAGTTCTCAAAAAGATTCTAAGATAAGCTTCTAATGAAGATTTTAAAAGAAACTTCCAAAAAGGATTTTAAATAAAGCTCCCAAGCAAGATTTTTAAATATGCTTCTAAAAAAGATTCTTAACGAGGCTTCTAAGGAATATTCTTAAAGAAGCTTCTAAAGAATATTCTAAATAATGCTTTAAAAAAAGATTCTAAAAGAAACTTCCAGAGAAGATTTTCAAGGAAACTTCTGATGAAGATCCTAAAATATGCTTCTAAAGAAGATTCTAAATTAATCTTCTACAGAAGGTTCTAAAACAAAGCTTCTAAAGAAGATTCTAAAAGTTACTTTAAAAGAAGGATCTAAAAGAAGTTTATAAAAAAGCTTCTAAACGAAGCCTATAAAAGAAGATTCTAAAAGAAGCTTCTAACGAAGATTTTAAAAGAAGCTTCTAACGAAGATTTTAAAATAAGCTTCCGTAGAAGATTGTTAAATAAAATTATAATGAAGATTCTAATAGAAGCGTCTTAAAAAGATTCATAAAGAAGAATTTAAAGAAGATTCCAAAAGAAGCTTTGTGAAAGAATATTCTAAAAATAGCGTCTAAAGAAGATTTAAAAAAAAACTTCCTAAGAAGATTCTAAAAAAAATTCTAAAGAAGATTGTAACAGGAGCTTCTAAAGAATATTCTAAATAAATCTTCAAAAGAAGATTCTAAAACAAACTTCCGTATAAGTTTCTAAAAGAAACTTCTTCAGAAGGTTCTAGAAAAAGCTTCTAAAAAAGTTTCTAAAAAATATTCTAAGAGAAGCTTCTAAAGAAGATTTTAAAAGGAACTTCTAAAGATGAATTTAAATAAAGCTCCTAAAGAAGATTCTAAAATAACCTTTTAAAGAAGATTCTGAATTACGTTTTTAAAGAAGATTCTAAAGAAACATCTACAGAAGGTTCTAAAAAAATCTTCTAAAGAAGATTCTAGAAGAAGCTTCTAAAAAGATTCTAAGAGAAGCTTCTAAAGAAGATTTTAAAAGAAATTTCTTAAGAGGATTTTAAATAAAGTTCCTAAACAAGATTTTAAAATAAGCTTCTGAAAAAGATTCCAAAAGAGGCTCCTAAAGAAGGTTTTAAAAGAAGCTTCTTAAGAATTTTCTACATAACGCTTTTATAGAAGATTCTAAAAAAAACTTCCAAAGAATATTTTAACGGAAACTTCTTATGCAGATCCTAAAATAAGCTTCTAAAGAAGATTCTAATAGAAACTTCTAAAGAAGACCATAAATTAATTATAAAGAAGACTCTAAAAGAAACTTTACAGAAGGTTCTAAAAAAAGCTTCTAAAGAAGATTCTAGAAGAAGCTTCTATAAAAGATCCATCGAGAATCTTCTACAGAAGAGTTTAAAAGAAACTTCTAAGGAGGATTTTAAATAAAGCTCCTAAAGAAGATTTTAAAAGAAGCCTTTAAAGAAGATTCTAAAAGAAGGAAGAAGATTCTTAAAGAAACTTCTAAAGAAGATTCTAAATTGAGCTTTTAAAGAAGAGTCTTAAAGACACTTCAAAAGAAGATTCTAAAAGATACTTCTACAGAAAGTTCTAAGAAAAGCTTATAAAGAAGATTCTGGACAAAGCTTCTTTAAAAAAAAATTCTAATAGAAGCTTCTTAAGAAGATTTTAAAAGAAATTTCTGGAGATGATTATAAATAAAGCTCATAAAGAAGATTATTAAAGAAGCCTCTAAAGAAGATTCCAAAAAAACTTCTAAAGAAGATTCTAAATGAAGCTTATACCATTCTACCATCTATTATAGAAGAAGCTTTTAAAGAAAATTTTAGAAGATTGGAAGTTTCTTTAAAAAAGGATTTTAAAAAATGTCCTTAAGTAGATTTTAAAAGAAGCTTCTAAAGAAGATTCTTAGAGAAGCCTTTAAAGAAGATTCGACAAGATGCTTCTTAAGTAGATTATGAAAGAAGCTTTCAAAGAGGATTCTAAAAGAAGCTTCAAAAGAAAATTCTCATAAAAGCTCCTAAAGAAGATTATAAAAAAAAAGTTTTTACATAAGATTCTAAAATAAGCTTCTAAAGAATATTCTAAAACAAGTTTTTAAAGAAGATTCTGAAAGAAGCGTCTAAAAAATATTCTAAAAGAAGCTTCTTAAGCAGATTCTAAAAAAACGTTTAAAGATGATTCCAAAAAAAGTTTTTACATAAGATTCTAAAATAAGCTTCTTAAGAATATTCTAATACAAGTTTTTAAAAAAGATTCTAAATAATGCGTCAAAAGAAGATACCAAAAAAAGCTTCTAAATCAAATTTTAAAAGATGATTCCGTAGTTGATTATCAAATAAATTTAAAAAAAAATATGAGACAAGCTTCTTAAAATGATTCCAAAAAAAGCCTCTAAAGAATATTTTATAAGAAACTTCTAAAGAAGATTTCACAAGAAGCATCTTAAGAAGATTCGCTCCGCTCCTCTGACTGTAAAAAGCACGGGCATTACAGTTTTGCAAGGTTTATGCTACGTTTAATAATAACGATTCTTCCATATATTTTTACGTTATGCTATTCTCTATTAGTTTTCATTCAATTTGAATTGAGTGTTCAAATTGGTTACACGTAAGACAAAGTTCGATGAGACACACAACTTAACACATTTTGTTCTAGATTTGTGATCTGGCAAGTTCAAATAATAAGAGCTTTACCCTAAATGCTTTTAAATGTGTGTATGTTGAGCACCGACAAATTGACATGAATGACCATAGCAAAAACTATAAAATTTCAGCACACTACTGACAGCTGACTTCGTGTTCGCGGGTAATATTTCGCTAAGCCATGAACCCGCTTGCAAAAGTTATGAATTGGTTCGTGTCTTATCTATCCTGGACAAATTATTTTTATCTATATTAAAAAATCATATGTTTTTGACAGTTCGGATCACTACACATTTAAATCGGCCGATTTTCGGGCATAAGTCAGAATTAAGTGTCATGTCAGTTGAGGGTCACATGGAAAAAAATAAAAAAATGTTCAATTGTTAACGAAAGAAAAAAATAATGACAGGAACATAGAATATAACGTTTTTGGATTTTTTTAAGGCGATTTTTTTTTGTAGGCTTAATTTGAATGTTCATTTTGAGTTTGAGAATCTATAATTTAAGCATTACATAATTTTGTTTGGATCATAATGAAAAGCTACGGGCTTTTTTCAATGTCCGATAAATAATGTGAACAGTCCTTATGTACCCTTTTTCGACAATTAATAACTGTTTAACCACTTGCAAGTGTTAGGGCCGTAAATGAAAGATTTTTTAAAGGGCTTTCTAGTGAAAATATTAAATAGAAACTGCAAAAACATTATAAAAATAATAGTTTACTCTGATTTCTTTATGAAAAAGACTTTCAGTCGTGGTCTGATTAGTCTATGAAAGCCCCAGGAAGTTCTTTAGTTAGACAGATAAGAAGTTTTACAAATGAACTCCCTAAATTACAGAGTTGGTTTTTGATGATTTCCATGGTAGCTGAGAGAGAGAGAAAGATTAGTAATTTCCATTTATTTCCACTACCTTAGGTAGTGGAATTAAATGGAAATTACTCATCCTTCTCACTCTCTCTCTCTCTCTTTATACAGGTAGTTCACTGAGCTGCCCACATTCATCTTGAATCCTGATTGACACTATAGTTTTCTTTTTTTTTTTAAGCTCAGATTCTTCAACACAACATATCAAAAATTCAGGAATGTATCTTGTGTCATTTTTTGGATACATTTTTTTAATATGAAGTTTTAAGTATTTGCTTCTTATCCGCCATCTCGAGCAAAACTTATACCAAATTGATAACAAGTGCTAATAGCCGGCTATCAAAATTTGATAACTGAAAATGACTGAACTGAAAATTATAACAAAAGATGCTTGATGAATACTACAAAAAAATAATATTTTTATATCATTGAAAACATCAATAATAACAATATAAAATATTTTTGTGATATCCATCGAGCATATCATGCATTTTAGCATGAACGAAAAAAAATGACTTGTAAAACAAGAACGCTGAAGCCATAATTCGACATGTTCTGCCTAGCTATTAAATTCGTAGGATTTAACGAAGTATTAGTAATGTGCAAATACATTTAAACAATTTGATCATTTTTGAATTGATAAAGCGAGGATCTACAACAAACTAATAACAAAAAGGTGAAAAAATAAGACGATGATAAAGTTCTACGAAACTCACCTTGAATTTTGCCACCGACCGATCCATCCAGTGTAGGATTATTATCATTCAAAGCATCATTCCCCCCAACAGGTGTCTGTTGCGATACATTTTGTGACGCACGAGTTCCATTGGAGTAGAAACAGCTTGAACTGAGCAGCAAAGTTTTTCTATACACCAATCCCTGCAGGGCGTTTTTTAACTTGATACCTTCCATATCCATTATGTGCGTGCTGGCCTGAGAAAACGATCCCTGAGCCAACGATGCCACCAGTACCACAACAGCCACGAACCAACCGTTGGCCAGCAGTTCGGTCCAGGTTAGAGGGCCCAATTGAATCCTAGTGCCGGTGATGGAGGTACCATCTGTCAAAAGTGATTGATTCCGAAGATTAAACTCTGCTGATACTGGAGAGTCATCCTGCAGAATTACACCGTCTTCACCAGTGGCCAATATCGTTGCTGACGACAACGACGACGACGACGACACCACGGGTTTTGCGATGTAATTGACGATATTGGATATGCAAAGTGGTCCCACCAGAGCGCAAAGGTCGCCCAGCAGCTTAAATGCGCCACCGGCCAGAAACATTTGCCAGCAGTTGAGCACGTAGCATCGCCATAGAGCGTAAGATGAGTTCTGTGAAAGAGAAACTGCGAGTTACATCAAAGGATTCGACATTTTCCCCTACTGGATAGTGGGAGTATGTGAGACGTGAGGTGGGAAATTTGATAATCGATGGTTTATAAACAAAGTTTTCTCTATATGAGATGAATATTGTAATTTATTCAATGCCACGTGCTAACACGGAGTGCACATCTAGAGCAAAATGACTAACAATTGAGTGATTAGAATGTTCATTAACATGAAGACATCCAAAATAAATTTCACTAAATAAATTCATCCAGAATTATCAACCCATTCATAGAAGTGGCTTTTATACAAAATCCAATACAATTAAAACAGTGTCAATTAACATTAAGCTGCTAAATCAGAGTTCTCAAGGGAACTCTGATTTAGCAGCTTGATGCTAATTGTCACTGTTTTAATTGTATTGCATTTTGTATAGCAGCCATGAGACCAAAATTCGAAATGTAAGGATGATTAGATGTGAAACCAACAGTTTGACGATATCTGATGACTGAAATAACATTTTAACCAAAGTTGAAATGTTCTGATAGTAATTGATAGAAGCGTACATCAATCTTCTGGGAATCCTATATCCATCCCGTCCATTTTTCTCATAGTGAGCATCATTTCTGAAACAAACCCCATTCACTACGAAGAATTAAAATATCTAGCAAAGAATTTTCAAGCATAGCGAAATCATATCATGCCGTTACAATGTCCCACCCTAGTGTCCACTCATGAAGCCGATTATTCACTCTCGGAAAATCCTTCCCTATTCGTTTTCTCATTCCTGTCTTTTTTTTTTGTTTTTTTTTCACTCGTTCTTTTTTGTTCTCTGCATTTCCGGACTCAAAACCTTTCCTACAGCTTGGCATATCTAGATTGTCAACCGGTCGGTCACTAGTGTGGTACAGTTATACAGTTTCTCTTTCATCCCATCAGATAGCTTTCCTTTTTCAACACCATTTTCTCTAGTTCTGCCTGCCATGGTCAAATCTCTGCTGGCGGCCAAGGACATAAATCATATTCCAGCGAAAGACAAAACCACACAACTTTTCCACACATAGCTACTTACTCTCGGTCTTTCAGTTTGGGTTCGCTTTCCCATTCACAACTCGAGAAGAGGTCAGTGACGTTTTGGGTCACTGATCATTTTTCATTACGTCTTGCCTATTTCATTATCACTTGTACCTACCTACAGCCTCTCGGTGCAGATAGCTTCCGCCGGTGGTGGTGACCGACATCAGTTGTTGCGATGGTGGGAAAACGTGTGCCACACAAAGACTTTGCAGGCCTTTGCAAATGGATAGTCAAGCCAAGAAAGCCAAGCACGGATGAAGGGAGGACGGATTTTTCCAACCCTTGAATCAAAAAGATTATGGGCTGAATGGGAAATGGATGATGAATCGGCGAATGATGGTGACATGTGAGCACTCCAGTGAAAGGAGAAGGCCAAGATACAATCAAAGGGTTGAAACTTGGCCGATCAAAGGCTGAGTAGGGTCAATGACACTGTTTTAACACATTTGATTTTATTTTTGAAGAGATTTGAAGATTATGGTCTCGTACAAAGGCTGAATAATCGGGAATGGCAACATTGTCTAGAGGTGATAAAAAATAATAGCTAGTTCTGTTCTGCATTATTTGACAAGTTTTGTATAAGTATGTGCCTACATTGATCATTAAACATTATGCTGAGATCCTGAACTCCTACTAGGTTCTCCAAAATTTCCTGGATTTAAGATCTTGATGCTCTATAGGCTCAATGTGGTTTTATACGCACGTTCCCGACTTGTTAAACTCATCATGTTGGAGCTTTGTAAAGCTTCATGATATTTTATTTATTTATTTATTTATTTCGTCAACCAACGTAGACTAGTACAACTAATACAGTTTTATTTTCTTAAATATATATTTATATAAAAAAAAGTAGTGTCAGCTTTCTTGTCTTTTCTTTTATGAGTTGTTATTTCTTATGGAATAAAAATATTGCTTTAGTTTATGCCGAGACATTGTAAAGTCAATGGTTTCGCAGTGTTTATTGTAAGAGGCCATCATGCGGTTTAATGGCCCATATTTTGCATAATTTGTGCGATGATGTTTTATGGCAAATAAATTTCGACTTCAGAGTTGCCGAGTGGGTGCATGGAAATTTAATTTTGATAAAAGTTCTGTTGAGTCAATTCGCTGCGAAACGATATCATTTACAAATGAAACCATTGCATATTCACGATGCTCTTTTAATGTTTGTATGTTTATAAGCATGCAGCGTGCTTCATATGATGGAAGAGGAAATTAATTTACGAAAAGCGTATAATAGAAATTGTTTTTGTACGGATTCTAATCTTTCTTCGTGTGTGATTGAAAAAGGAGACCATACAATGCTGCAATATTCCAGTATTGACCTCACATAGGCAATATATAGTGTTTTAATTGTGTAAGGGTCCTGAAAGTTATAGCAAAAGCGCTTGATAAAGCCTAGCATGTTATTTGCCCTGTGAATAATTGTATTGTAATGGTCTATGAAAGTTAGCTTAGAGTCTAAGATAATTCCTAAATCCCTAACTCTTTCACATTTGTCTACAGTTTGATTTCCTAATGCAATTGAAATGTTTGAAGTTGTTCTTTTTCTACTAAATGATATTAAGCTACATTTTTTTACATTCAATTCTAGTAGACTTTTTTTGCACCATATGTAGAATATGTGTATTTCATTCCGGAATATATTGATGTCTTCTTCATTTCTTATTTCCAAAAAGAGCTTCATGTCGTCGGCATAAATAAGCAATTTAAGTTTTTTGAGAATGTAAGATATGTCGTTTACGTATAGAATAAAAAGGAGAGGTCCCAAATGAGAGCCTTGGGGGACGCCTGAAGTGACTTGAATTGGGCTCGATTTCTTTCCGTTGAATTTAATTATTTGTTGGCGGTTAGTTAAATATGATTCAAGCCATTTCAGGAGCCCTGACTTAATTCCAATTTTTTGCAGTTTAAAGAGTAACATTGGTATGTCAATGCGGTCAAATGCCTTGCTAAAGTCTGTATAGAGAGCTTCTACGTGGTTTCCATTATCCATTGCATTCAATGAATAGTCTATAAATTCAAGTAAGTTGGTCGAGGTCGAACGACCCTTGAAAAAGCCGTGTTGCATGTCAGTAATTCTATTTTTGATTTGGAGAAATAATTTTTCGTAACATGTGCTTCATAGAATGGTAAGAATAAGATATTTAATGCTCTCCAAACTATTCTGGATCTAAGATCTTGAAGTTCTACAGGCACAATGAAGTCATGAATCAAGTCCTGAAAATCTTAATGAGTGCGTAAAGCTCAAGAGAGCCTCTTGAAAACATCCACATCACTATTGAATTCAATATTATTTTAAATACCCACGAAACTATTCAGGAGGTATAATCTTGAACATCTGCAGACTCAATAAAAGAGTTGAACAATGGAGTGAAAATCTGTATTTGTTCTGTATGTAAGCTCAAAAGAGCCTCTTGACTAGTGCGTTTTTTCATTGTCACTGAAAGGTTTCACAAGATATTCTCAACATTATTTTTGACATTGTCTCTGGAAGAATTAACTCTCACATAAACCTCGGGCCACTAGGGTATCCAACAGTCGTGCTCTGGAGTTTGACATTACCGAGGCAATACCAAACTGCGTGATCGATGTCATCATAACAGGTTCTGCACCTACAACGCTGCTGTCAACGAGGTTGATTCTGTAGACATCCCGACTTACATCCAGACCTTTGAACCACGCTCTCGAAGAAACATTTGGAGTAATGGAATGTAACCACCGCCCAAAAGAATTACTTGTCCAATCGTTTTGCCAACTTAAAAGAGAACTCTGACGTACTAATGGGAAAAATTCATCATGTGAAATTCTTCTATCATAAATCTCGCCTTGTTGTGCGCCCACCTTTGCGAGAGAGTCTGCCTTCTCATTGCCTGGGATTGAGTAATGTGAGGGGACCCATACAAAGGTAATCATATATGATCTTTCGATCAGCAAACTCATCTGCTCCCTTACCTTTGAAAGGAAATAAGATGAGTACCTTGTTTCATCGACCGAATAGCCTCAATCGAACTAAGACTATACGAGAAAATTAAATAATGGTCTATTGGCATGTCGGAAATCATCCCCAATGCGAAGTTGATTGCTGCTAGCTAGCGGAACAAGGTTCCTGACGTTTCCGAAGGGCGGTTGAATATTCATTAAAGACACCGAAGCCAGTGGATCCATCAATGCGTGATCCATCAGTGAATAATCTTCTATTGCAATTGACTTGTTGGCACTTTTCAGCAAAAATACGGGGAATTGAGATAGGTCAAAGTTGATCTGAAAATCCTTGAATAGCCTGTTTCATAGAGAGATCATAGTCAATGGGGGAACTGTAGTTAGTAAAACATACACGAGTTGGTTATAGCACGGAAGGCTAATAGGGTTAACTACCCCATTTTCGGCCTATTAAGCACAACCCGCACTTAGTATTTCTTAATCTAGCGAATCTAGCGCAGTTTAGCACCAAACGGAATGTTATTATTACTGATGGCTTCCAAATTTATTTACCTTTCCGTTGAGATATTGTCAAAAGTCTAACACTGCTTCTTGACGCCAAACTCGGCCTACGGATTCTGAACATGGCCTAATGCATTGAAACGCTATTCAAACGCCAATGAATTCACTTCGGCCTATCGGATGAAGATAAAAATTGATTCGGTCGGAGCGCTTCTTTTGTTTTTGGGAATAATTGGAACAAACCCTCATATCACGCGTTCTCATTGACTTCGTTCCATAGCTTATGAACTAAAGTATCGTACCAAACGCATAATCGACTTGTTAACTCTGAAATCATGGATTTATTTGAAGTTTTCTGCTCGATAGGCCCAAAATGGGGGATTAGGCCGAAGTTGTTCTCTACCCTATCATATAATTAAGATAGATTCGCACGAATCTAGACTGGATGCTCAATTCGAGCATTTCCTCGAGGTTTTCAATCACAG